CTAAACTCTTCCCGAATTCACAGCTACAACACCAAAAAGGATGAATTCGTTATTCTTGTTGGGGAAAAAAAAAAAGGACTCCAAACAATTAATATCTCACTCAGAGGCTTTTAGCAACCAGCTGAGCTTTGCACTCACGGGAGGATCAATCGGCTCTTCCATGGTACCAGCAGAGAAGGCTAATGCTAGGGACGGTGTCGTGCATGGAGTGGCTCACCCAGCAGCACCCAAACACTCAGATGTGGCAGTCCCTTATCAGTGATGACAACTGAGGTAGCAGCTCTCTGAACTGTATCCAGAAAGTAAAACTGAAGGCAGTAGCATGAGGTAATAAAGGAGAGTCTGTTGCGGTGCTTACACTGGTGAGAACTGGGAATGACTTTTAAGAAAGGGTGGGTTTCACACCTGTGTGGTGATGCTGGCAGTCAGTTAAACCTTCCCGGAGACAGGCAGGGAAGGGTCTATTCTAATTTTCACCATGAGATATATGCAGAGAGTAACTCAGTCTTTTTTGGTTTTAGAGAATCACTCCCATGTAATTGGGATAAAAATTAACAGGCAGAGGGACTTTAAGAGCAACAATGACTATTGCAGTTTCCAGCTCTGATTTCTGGGATAACACTGGCTGCTGAATTGAGGCAGTAATTTCTGTGCGATGTCTATCACTTCTATCTGAGCTTCTGTTTGAGTAAGAAACCAAATCTGTGCCTAGGTATGCCTTATTAAGTTTCTTATGTCTGCTTTGGTGACAGATAATAAAATATGAGCAAGTTCTCTGTGACTCTCAGTAGTCTACATTAAATGTGCACCGAGACTTTTATATTGCATGGAACAGAATCCAAATCCTTGTTTCAAACATAAAGTAAGACACTTGTAAAGCGTGCAAATGACAACTATCCCTTGGATACAGACACCGAGGGAAAGCTTTACCTTTGTGCCTGAGCTGCAGGAGTTCCTGCGGTGTGTTTTGGAAGCAGAGGTGAAACATACAAGCAAATCCTGTACCAAATTTTAAAATATTTGTAGAGGTCAGCGACAGAGCAGTTTAGTGAACTACCAATAACTGGCAAGGATAATCAATATTTTTTATCCACTAGAAGGTACAGTTTTATTTTCTAATTTAGTTTTCTGACGCTTAAGTACAACATTGATTATGTCTGGTATGAAGAAGCTGACTTTGTCATCGATACTTCCTGTGAGTTGAAAATTGATATTGTTCCATCTCCTTTGACTGCGATGAATTATTCTGTTTGCTTTCTACCAGCTGGTTATACTTCCAGCATTGTTCATTTGTGGACGAGTGACTGGCAGCTCCACTACTAAATAACTTTAAAATGATTGGCAGCGGCCAGGCTGATCAATAGATGTGCTTGAAATGATGTCTGTGCAGAAGTGCTCCTCGAGGTTGATGGAATCAAGTGTCTCCTCGTAGAGCAGATAAATTGATTCAATCGAGTTGTCACCGGGGGTGAGGGGTTCGTGTGATGCCTGTCTGCCTCACCTTGAGACCTTATAATTTATAAGGCCCGGTCTGGTAATGTGCGCTGATAAAGGAGGCTGTGTTGTAGAAAAGACTGTCAGGTTGTGCCTACCATGTGGAAAGCTGTGTTCTTTAAGGTGATGCTGTTAATTAAAATCTGTACTGCTCTCTGGAGGCTCTGACCTCTGGCCGTGTCAGGACTATGAGTTTTGTTTCTTATTCTCTACTGTAGGTGGGTGGGGTTTTTTTTGTGTGTGTGAGTGACTTGAGGAAGGAGGATGGTTATCTCACTGCTTTTGGGGACCCAGCTCCTCCCAGATCACCTCATAGCCCAGTGCATGGAGAAGGCTCTGTGGCTCTGCCCTGCTGTTGTCCTGCCTCTTCCTCAGGCCTCTCGGGGAGGGATCTGCTAGTCTGGAAACTAGACATGGCAAAGGACGTGTAGGTGAATCAAGAAGTCTTGGTGGGAAAGGCTGTCCTCTTCCCCCTCGCTGCAGATGCTGCTCAGAAGTGGACAGAACCTGCTGATTTGTGGGGTATTGTGACAAAAGGGAAGGATCTCTTTTTGTCTGATCCTGGAAAGGAACAATATAAATTGCTGATTTATGTTCAGAAAAGCATTTCTTTCCTGTTCTTCCTTCATCCTCACTCAGAAGTATGTACAGGGCAACCCAAGTGACATCTGATAGTCATTTACAATGTGTTTTTCTGGATGAGATTGCGTTGTATTATAGGCCTGTAGGAAGATATTTATTCTATTTGATATTAATTCGATTAAGGCTGAACAGAATTACTTCCAGAGGAAAAGGCCTTTCACACACAGCTTCTGTTCAGAGCTGGTATGTACCGAAGTTCACATTCCTTGATTTCCAGGACAGGGTGCAATAGGGAACATAAGGTTATAGCACAGACACTAGTGAAGTGCACAGGCGAAGCAATATGCCTTGATACGGCACCTGCGTAAATTACTGACTGGGGGGCAACCTGTTGCCTACACTGAGTTTTGGGATTGAATCTCCAAAAGAAGAAAAGCACTGTCGCAAAGTCATCAAAGGGAAAACCTGTAGGACTCTCCTAGTGCTTGTGTAGACCATTCTGCACATGGCCTTAGATGGCTGTGCACGTCTTGGGACGATGAGCTGCGCAGATACAAGCAAGCATCCAACTTGGCCAGGCAAATATAACCATCTCTGTTTCCCCCTCCTCCCATAGTGTATTTTATCCAGTCCCATATAATAACCTGATGGGGACACATGAGGGTTAGAAATGGGATCAACTTTGATGGGTTTGGGTTTTTTTTTCTTTTTTGGTTTAATTTCCAAGCACACCCTTGCATTAAGAGCCTGCTGGGGAGTCCTCAGGCTAGACAGGTGCTCTGGGCCTCTTGAAGGTTGGGCATGAAGTATTCTGTTGTTTCAGCTGCTGTGACCTTATGGTCCCTAGGAAAGTTGGTTATGGATGTATAGTGGCTTTATTGCTCCATAGCGACATGTACCGTATAGTACCCAGTGGTATTTTAAGTACTTCATAGTTATATCAAAGAAAATACTTGTGGAGTATTAGGCCTTATAAACCCATACTGCTGTGCATTTTAAGGCTGGAACTTCAAGTAAGCCATGAAACAATTTTGTGGTGTTTGTGGCTTTGTTTGATTTGGACTGGTGACCTGCTTTCAGTATTTCTTTGGATAAGCAACTCCCATTTTACAGCCTCACATGGCACACGTGCCCTGTGTTAACTGAGGGGACTGTGCCACTTGGGCAACTTTGCCTAGAGGGTCTGGTGAGAGTAACAGTGAATGTCATGATACATGTGTTGCAAAAGAAAGCTGGATATGAAAAGAGAAGTCAGGTATGATTGTCTGAATGGAGAACCCTGGACCATGGAGGGCTGTAAAAGAAAGAGGTCATAATATTTTTACATTATTTTTTTCCACTCATTTCTGGGAGAGATTGTGTTACTGTTGCAGAGATCCAGAGGACTTCAGGGGAATTGTTTTGGAGTTTTCATGGATGTAGCTGAAAACACGTCTCTGGTACCTCAATGGAAATCGTAAATCTAGGGTTGAGTGAGTCACCTGTGCGATATGTGGACTGCAGTGTGTTGAAGTGGGATTTTGTGCTAAGAATGGAGTAATATTTCAGCAAAATATTCAAGTTTTCATGCCGTTTCAGATTTGGTTCAGAACAAGCCCAGTATTTTAATCCAGAGCAAAGACTTTCCTCTATCACAAGTAACAGTGAAAGTTGTTATGTATATGACTACCGCGGAACAACGTTAATTTCGGTTGCTTTTCATTTATTTTGAACTATTCAGTGAAGATTCAAAGTAGTATATTAAAATAATGTATGTTCAAAGCTGGAGTGTGAAATACAGTGTAAAACGTTTATTGACGCTTAAGTAATTCCTGTTTCCTAATCAAAGTCTTAAGAGATAATTCTGTTTCTACTTTTAAATATATTAATTTTCTGTTCTCATTTTCATTAACTAGTGCCTAGAATAAATTGTGGTTTATTGGGGTTCTTTCTCCCTTAGCCACGTGTATGGCTTTGTTACTCAAATGTAGGAGTGTTTTCTGTTTCTTCCAAATTACACAATATAATGACTGAGAACATATACGTACGTAAGCCTGATTTGTCGCACTCCCGCTTCAAGGCAACAAATTGCCTTTAAAACTAAAAATGAATTTTTTTTTTTTTGTAAGCTTAATTATATGAGCCAGCATTTTGATTTCGCTGAGGGAACAAAACCACCATAATTAGGCAGAGTGTAGTTTTTCACGTAAGGTCACATCATGCTTTGCTGAGAATAATAAGAGGAAATGATCTTCAATTTAACATCATGGTGACTGGCAGACCAGCTGCTCTGGTCATTTCTGTGAGTGAAGTGGCCTTGGGAAAAGGAGTGAGTGTGTGGTGTTTGTAACAGAAATTAAATTAACCTTGTTGCGTAATTGGTACCCGTGTAGATGTAGTGGAGTTTTCAGGTTTTTAAACTACTTTTGTGCGTGTGTAATAAGCTGTGCTGAAGTGGCTGATGACATACCTTGCATCTGAAGTAAAAAAAAGTCTTTACAAGAAAAGATTTGACTCCAAGATGTTGCTCTCTTCTGGAGATTGCGAGCCTTTCTTTGCAAGGTGAGTACCTGGTGGAACAGTAAAGGCAGTAGGTCAGGCACACTCTGGTGCAGCCAGGGTACGATGACTTGGTCCAGGTTGGTTTGTTACCTGAAACTAGAATATATATACTGAAAAGAGCTTTGTGAAGGTTCCTTGGTAATATCTGTTGCTGGCGTGGCTCCTGACTCCTGGAGTGTACCCTGGTGCTCCCGCTGTTCAGTGGCAACTGGCAGCCTACACTGGGAGCAGCTTCATCAGCTGGAAACAATAGTGTCTGATTCTTGTTTGTCAGCCGGGACAATAGCCCCGCTGACTGGCTGCGGTGAAGGAGAGTGGGGTCCCTTTGTATGGCAGTGCCGGCATGGCAGATGGCTAATTGGACATGATAAACCACGGGGGCAATGGGGGAGAAAAAGGAGATCTGCAGGGATTATCGGCTTGTATCCCCCACTTTAGGAGGGGAAAAAATCCCCACAACCAAACCGTATTTTAAAGATGTTATCAACTTTAGCTCTTTGCCATGAATATATGATTCAGGAACGAAGAAGGGGGACGCCCTAACTAATGTCTCTCCATAGCTGATGTGAAGTCCACTTTATTAGCTGGGAACAAATCCTATTACTGTATGGGAAGGTAGGCAAATGCACAGCCCCTGGGGACACTGGCATGGCACTTAGGAAAATTAGCAGTGCATATTTTTCACCAGTCTTGTAAGTGAATGTCAAACTGTTGTGCCAAACAGCATCCAAGCTGAAAACAATGAGCTTTGCAGCAGTGCTTTTCAGGAGTGGAAAGTTATGTGCTACCACAGTTTGTCTTAATATGAATAGACATCCATCCGTGTCGGAGCACTGAAAAACTCAACTGGTTAATGAATACTATTTATTTAAATGTATTTTATTAGACTTAGTACATTATGAAGCCAAAACTGGAAGCCCTTGTGCAAACAAACTCTTGCTTATCACTAAAAGAGCTTAGTGAAAAATGGAATAAAGTCTCAAGTTTAGGAACACAAAAAACAGAGGGCTGGAACACCTATAAGGACAGGCTGAGAGAGTTGGGTTGTTCAGCCTGGAGAAGGCTCCAGGGAGACCTTATTGTGGCTTTTTAGTAGGGGGCTTATAAGAAAGATTGGGACAGATGTTTTAGTAGGGACTGTAGCGATAGGACAAGAGGTAATGGTTTTAAACTTGAGGAGTTAATTCAGACTAGATGTAAGGAAGACATTTTTACAGTGTGAGTGGTGAAACACTGGCACAGGTTGCCCAGAGAAGTGGTAGATGCCCCATCCCAGGAAACATTCAAGGTCAGGTTAGATGGGGCTCTGAGCAACTTGATCTAGTGGAAGATGTCCTGCTTGGGGGATTGGACTAGATGACCTTTAAAGGTCCTTTCCAGCCAAAATATGTGAATCTAAGGCATGTGTCAATCTGAGGTAGTTTTTGGTATGAGATGCGTAGGCTTAGCTAGTGGCTTCGGTGGCTGTGAGCCCAAGGCTGTGCTCACAGTTTGGTAGCAGCGGGCCGGAGTTCATCCCATTGGATGCATTTTAATTCCTTTTGAGCTCCCTTATAGTTAAACAACAAGGGAAAGCACACCCCAATTTTGTTCATCTTCCTCTGTCCACAGAGGAAGTATAAGAAGTAAGGCTGAAAGGGAGTCATGTTCAGCAGTGGCTGCTGCAGCCATCTGCAGTTGTCACTGGCTTTCATTGTCTTTTTTCTGTAAAATGGTATCAAGTGCCTAGAATACTGCACTATTTTAGTGTCTCATAATAATAATGTTATGGCATATAACAGATACATTTAAATTGTAGTAAAAATAAATCTGCAAGAGGTTAAAAATAGGAAGAAATATGCAGTACTCTGGAAGCAGATTTACTTTCTGTGGAAATGTCTGGACTGTGTTTCTCTTCCACTGTTTACTACTGTCTTTTCCCACGGGACAAGTTCAGTGGAAACTCCAGATGAAAAGTTTCAGCAGGCCCTTCAAGTGTTGTACCTGTCAGTTTGTGTAGCTTTTGAAGCTATAGGTGCAAGAGACCTTTTAAAGGATTGTGAGTGGATGCAATAAAACTTCCAATAGGGCCATCTTCCTATAGGTCCTACAATATTGTCATTACGTTACAGTGGTTCCCTATCAGAGTTTATTTGTATTATTGTCTCAGTCACTGATTGGTTCCTTCTGCAGCAGATGCTATGTGAACACTGAACAGAAAGATGATTCCTGCCAGCAAGTGCTTACGATAAATGCTGTCAAGTAGATTGTGAATTAATTTATCCGCCTTTTGCTTTGCTTTCCTTTCCTTTTAGACATGTCTGAAGGACAAACCAGAGGAGTTAATGGAGTTTAGCACTGGGTATGAAGCAGAGGGAATGGCTGAGAATAAGGTATGAGCAGAAAAATACTGAACAGAAAGATGATTCCTGCCAGCAAGTGCTTACGATAAATGCTGTCAAGTAGATTGTGAATTAATTTATCCGCCTTTTGCTTTGCTTTCCTTTCCTTTTAGACATGTCTGAAGGACAAACCAGAGGAGTTAATGGAGTTTAGCACTGGGTATGAAGCAGAGGGAATGGCTGAGAATAAGGTATGAGCAGAAAAATAGAGAAGAA